GGGGGGGGGGGGGAGAAAGAGAAATATGCTTACAATTAATATTTCAAATCAACTAAAAACCAATACAATCTTTGTCAATAACATTTTGATATCTCTTTACAAATATAGTTTTAATATTTAATAAGGTGCAATAATATCAGTATTTTATCAAGTAATTACAGATATATCTAAATATATCTAAGTATTTGAAGAATAAAGAATTTCAAAAATATATATATATGTATATGTATATTTAATCAACCCCTACTGTATTTATCATATAAAAAATGATTAGATGTTGAGTTTTATTTTATTTACAGGTTACAAGAATGTTACCTGGTGGAATGTGGGTTCTTGGTGTATTTATTGTTGGACCTGAGGATACTTTAGATAATACTAGTAATGTACAAAAGCTTAAATCAGTTCTTGGTGCAATTCACAAAACTTTGTCATGGAATAATAAGTACCTCTGTGGAAATAATCAGGATGAGAAGCTGATACTAAGTTTTAACAGTATTGCACAAAAGTATGCTGACTCCTTCAAGGAGATTTAAAAATTTGACACTATTTTCACTGTTTTAATTTTACCTTTAGATATATTTGCAAGTCCATAGATATTGCTAAGGACAGTATGTTAAAACCAGCCGATTGGAAATTCCAAGAAAAAGCAACCAAGTGGCATCAACTTGAAACTCTAGTTGACTTTGACAGATTGTACCTTATTGCTGTAGACAAGGATCCTGAAACTCTCAAGAAGCAATTACAGGTATTAATAAACGAATACTTAATTATTTTTACAATACCACATTAAAAGCATTAAACGTTACAGAATATTTTGACAAACGTAGCAGATTTAATCGATTCTTCACTCATCGTTATCGAGGGAGAAGTCAGATCTCCGGATGACACATTGGAAACACTTGGCAAGAGGAAGAAGAGTAGCAATAAAGAATGTAAAAATAAGACAGACGATAGTAATAATTCACTTCAAGTTAGCCTATATATTCCCTGCGTTAGTATGAATACAATTTTGTTAAAGTTTACATAAAGAGGTATTTTAAGAAGTTAAATTAAATAAAATTAATGTTATTAGTCACAAAATAACAGTAATATGGACGTAAGAACAACATCGTGCAGCGCATCGATACGACTAATTGGACAATTGGTCAGTAGGACGTTTGTACATCAGAGAGCTAGTATTGCAGAAGCCAATACAGCAGTGAAAGAAGATATAGTGAGATCTCTCGCAAGTAGATTGGAAATGCATTGGGATAGTTTAATAGAGGAAGAAAATGGTTCTCCCGAAGGTAATACACGAATGAGAGGTATGCGATATAAATATTATAGTAGAATTTGATACTTATATTCTGCATCTTTGCAACTTGTTCTCAGAGAATATCACGTTGCATGAACCACCGAGACGAGTGTTAATAGCATTACCAGATAATAAAGTTACGTTATCGGATTATTTGTTTCCTGGTGAAGGGCCGCAAGAAGCATTATTGTCACTGCAGGAACTTTTAGATCTCAATGTACAAGAAAGTCAGGTTCAAAAAGAGGTCGAACTACAAGCTGGTGAGTAGAAAAATGTTAAGTATCATTGTAGCAGCACCAAAATCACATATATTATTCGATTGTAACCGAATATGTTAATGCAGATCCTATAGAATTCTACTGTCAAAGCAATGTCAATACTAAACCGTTGGATAATAATGCTGATACAACTGGAAGTTATCAAATGACCACGTACCTTACTGGCTTAAGTGTTGCATTTGTTATATTGTTGGTAGCAGTCCTCGTTCACCAGTTCATGATTTAATAGTATACATTTTATTCTATACATGGTACATATGAAATAGCGGTTTATTTATTATATGTTATGTATACTATACAGTATCCATTTTAAAGCATATGTATTTTAAAATCGTAAAAATGTAAATATCGTTGCAAAAATTTTAAATTTAATATACACATTTTAAAATTAGCGTATAATAAAATTTCTTTAACCTAATATCATGTTCTTATGAGATAGGATGTATCTTATGAGATAGGATGTCCTAATTATTTAAATAATTTTACATAAATTTATAAAAATATTACGAAGTTTTAAGCGTGAAATAAAAATGTACAGCCGTTCATCTTTTTCTCACATGCATTATTCATTTTTGTTATTAATATATTTACAGGAAAATAAAATATTACAATATGTTTCTTTAACTTTATATTATATATGCATTTTATTATAACATCTACATAATATATACATATACCGTATCATACACATGTATTTTTATATACAAAATAATAGTAGTTTAGAATTTTTAGTCTTCGTAATGGCAATCCTTATATCTTTAGTATGACTCTTCTCATATCGCATGATAATGCCAAATTATAGGTAATAACATGCAATTTTGTTACAAAATTTGTTAATAAATTAGGCAGTGATAATTCTAATGTTTAAATGCTTGCTATCAACTGCATTACTTTAATAAATCTTGTTTGTATATTCTGTTTGTAAAATTCTCTATGCTAATGTGTATGAAAATTTTATTTACAAAACTTTTTACACTGTACACGACAAATTCCTTCAAAAAGACAATATCTCTAAGAACGCTGGGGAAACGTAACAAAAAAATATCGTAGGTTTTACACTTTTCCGGCAATAAATGTTCTTTACTCATGTTGAAAGTAACATTCCTCTTTTTCTTTCTTCCACCTTTATACTGTTTAGATATTTTTACTTCATTCTCTGTCGTAGTGTAACTTTGATTCTTTTTCTTTATTAAATGAAAGCACGAATAGGTGCCAGAAATATGATTTATGCACACCTAGCTATATCAACTTTTTATATTTATGTAGTAAAATCATTAATTTTCATAATATTGTATATATACATATGAAATAATGCAAAATGTATATATTTCTAATAATTAAAGATGTCATACATTGAAAAAATAAATTTTCTTATATGTGACACAACTTATACATATAAATTTACATAAACGAAATTAAGTAGCTTATGTGACTTTCCTTTACATCACTATGATTTCTTCTTTCGAGCAACTTTTTTTTATATCTTGTATAGAATCGCGAATATCTTATAGAATTGTGAATAATTTAATGTAAATAATAAATTAATTAATATATTAATAATACTTTCCAAAATTTTTTCTAAAAATTTCTATAGGCAGCTTCTACGTTTAATAACAATTCCACATTCAACGCAGAAATATGTATTTGCAAAAATGGGATATATCATCGACACTCTTTCTAGCATATGCTTATTATAATTAAATATGATTATGATATAATAAATAGCAGTCATACGAAATTATGATTTAAATACATTATTGCAACTTAATTATGCAATTAATTATACAAATTTAATTATCAAAATAATTATATTTGTACTTTAATCATAGCATGTGAATTCCGGCCTATATTTTGTTTGTGACTTAATTTACTAATTTTTAAAATTTCACGAAATCTTTTTTTTTTGCCAAAACAAAAGCATAAAACCGTGTAAAAATATACTATTTCTTGCAATTAATGATAATTGACGGCTACATTTGCATTTAATTATCATATCGTGTGTGAATGCTTCTCGATGAGGATACAAACAAATTGCATTCCTTGTTTTAAAACACAATATTGAAATTGCACTATCCATTAAACAGAAATCAATTATTCTTAATCTTTACGAGTTGTAAATTTTATATTACACCCATTTTTATAAGACCTGACTGACTTCCTCTACCGATGCTCGCATCTTCCAACGAATCCAAGTCTAAGGCGGACTCTATCATAGTCGTGTCCTGTAATAGTCTAAGTCTAGACGCAGATAAAGGAGTTGTTACAGTTACTGTTGGTATGGAAGATGTATCCAGAGCGGAAGAGACCACGGCACTCTGACGAGAAGGCAGCGGAGCGATTTCATCGATATCAATTGGTGCTATATTGAGAGACGCTAGCGGTATTTCGTTGGTAACAAGTTGACTTATACTGTTCGTGGTACTACCTAAAAACAAAATTTGTAATGCCAGAGATAAGTCGTCTTATTTTGGTGGTGTTGACATGGACAATTTGTACAAAAAAAAATAAGTGCACATACAGCATTAAAATATAAATAATTGCTATTAAACCGTGAAGGGAAACAAGCTGTTATAAAACTTCTTTAATATCGATAGGAAAGAAAAAAAAATTATATCGTACAATTATTATCAGAAAGGTGCAGAGCGTTGGCCTTGTGTTCTCTTACACACAATATATCAGCGATGCAAGCTCATATTATAATCAATTACCCATTTAATAATGCACTAATTCTCAGTACACATTCTTACATTCCGTAAAGTTAACATCTTACATTAGACATAACACTGCAAAAATGTTTGATTTTTTTTTTAGACTACTTCCATTTATGCGTGAAGACAAAAAAAAAGAGTATATCAAACCACACTCGTCACATTCTTTGGTATTACAAAATATCTTACCGAATTTTGTAAATTTGTAAAGAGAGCAGATGCACATTGAAAAATTAAATGTTATTATATTGAATCAGAACTTTTCTTTTAAATAAAAACAAAAACTTCGATACATTTCCGCGTATATATTGACAACTAATTTACAGATTATATAAGATTTTATCTTCTCTATATATACAATATATATCTAAAATATAAAACCAAATTATAAACCAATTAGTCACAAGCCATAAACCCTGTAATTAATGTATTGCTCCAGAATTAGTCTCGTAAAAATATAAAAGAAATATGTCACGTGATTTATTTATGCTAGTAAAAATATAATCAAGTCATTCGTATATTAAAACACATTCAATGACTATCAAAATGTATGAAATGAACTTACCAAGTAGTATGCTCTGAGCCCTCGATAACAGGACGTAATTTTTAAACAACAAAGAAATACAAATTTATTGAATTATGTCGAAATTATACTAATCACTAAGAAAAATATGTCATTTAAATTTTGTGTGTGTGCGTGTGTGTGTGCGCGCGCACGCGCGCGCGTGTGGTATATATGTATACACACACACATACATACACACACAAATGCATTTATACCTATAAATTTAAAAGTGAAGAACCGTATAAAAAAAAACGTGTTTGCATTATGCACTTTTATTGTTTTTATATATATAAATAGTAATAAAGAAATTTATGCGCAAAATTCATGAAAAAATATGAAATATCGTTTGAACCGTGAATATTGAATATATATGTAGAAGCAATAATAAGTTTAAACGTTTAATGTATATAGTATTTGTTTATATAATAAGTAATATATAGAATATGAATTAAAAAGAACATCATTAAGAGAAGTCACATCAAGAGAGTAAACAAAATCGGTATTATATATACCCTTAAACTCACCACCATAACTGTAATATACATTTTTTAAATAAACATTTATATATGCGTAATGCAAAATGGTATTTTCAAAAAATAAATAGATCTCTTTTTCTCAACAATTAAATTCAACTTCTCGGTATTTGTATATATATAGTTTTTTTTTTAAATTCTCAGTTGAAAGAATCAAGAACAATCACGTATAATCATTTACATATGCATATATACATACATACACTCAAATCAGTACATTCTTTCTCAATGTGAAAGATTTTTTTTCAAGAATAGGACGAATTACAATTCTAATTGTCAAAGTTTTCTAACAAGTCCAAGATTTCTTTAGTATAAGAATGTAATAATTATTATTTTATTATTCTCTTTATCCACTATAAATGAATTTTATAATTTAAAAATGCGTCATTAGTTGATAATAAACGTTAAATGTCCTCATTGTCACTTAATGAGCTCATGATAAAACGACGATTCAAAAGATCTTCCTCCGTACTATCGCTCGGGCATAACGAATTCTCCGTATACGATAAATTGTTAGTTAGCGGTCCGGAACCGAATCTGTTGACCACGAGGCCAATTGCGGTCTGTCCGATAATCGGTATGCCACCCGTGCCTAATATACGCGCCGGTAGAATGTTTTTCGTTATTGGATATTTTAAGCTGTGTTCGGTACATCTCAAATTGTTATATTTAAGCATATGCGGGGATTGCGAAAGCCGTAATGGATCTTCGGAATAGCACTGGGGAAACTTTTGCAGATCGGTATAACCGTTCTTCTCACTTATCTTATAACGTAAGGGATCCTCGGAATATCGTTGAGGATACTTTTGAAGATCAATGCCATATTTCTGTTCCCCTATGCACTGGTCGTATATAAGATTATTATCCGAACACCTATGATATTCCTCTCTACACCTATGAGGATACTTGTGCAAACCATCCTCGCATCTACACGGATATTTTTGAAAGTCTGGATTTAACCGGTCTACTTCGTCATATTTAATATGTTTCACAGAATCCTGAGAGCAATGTTGCGCCGGGTATGGCGGCACGTAAGTATCGTTTATGTATTGGCGCGGATATTTTGGTAAATCCTCGGGACAACGTGTAGGATGTCTCAAGAGAGTCAACTCACCGTTTATTGACTCTATTCTTGGAGAATGTTGACCACTGATCAAGTTATTCATCGAGCCCGTAAGATCCGTACTGGGACTCGTTTGAACCGTCGTACCGTTTGACTGTCAAAATGAATAATAAAAATGACAATGTAAAATGTATACATTATTGTACATCTCTTACTGTATTTAACTGTGTTATTAAAGTAGATTAGTAAACACATTATACATAATTACCTGAGGCTGCACAATTTTGGTAGTACCGTATGTTTTATTATTAGTAATTACATTATCATCACCAACTCGTTCATGTTCTGCGCGGTATTCAGGTGTGACTATCCCTCTTCGATCTGAAACGATATGATCCGAAAATGAACTCAATACACAATTAATGGATGACGACATAACTATATCCTTTGATTCTATAACTTGCGCATTTGCATAGATGAATATTATAGCAGCTTGTACGAGAAAGATGTTACCGATTAAACTAGGTGGGGCCGGTCCACATAACACATAAAAAAAATTTCCACAAATGTTTCCTTGACTGTAAGGATTAAAATTATCCTGCCCTCTTCTATTCGTGAACGACCCTTTAATCTAAAAAGTGGCAGCAACAATTAAAGAAAACTTTTGACATAATTTATACATGATTTTATATGTGTGTCGAACGTACTTACATCTTCGTTAGTCGTTTGATTGCTGCTAGTTAAATACGTATGAAAACCAGCGAGGCCTAAGATACTCCAAACAGAGAAGAAACATATGACTCCTACAATTACACTGCTCGGGGATAATTTTACAGCTTCTAAAAACGGCTTGCTATCTTTTGTAACTAAAATCACAATAAACATATACGAAATGTTAATTTCGTCATAATCATAATTGCGCGTTTATTGATTTATTACCCAAAAATTAATATACTTACGCATAATAATATGCGTGACTGCACATACAAATATAAAAACACAAAGAAATGCGAGGGATACTATAAAAGCATAAAAATATCTATAATTTCTTCTGCCCACGCAATTACCAACCCATGGACAGTGATGATCGAATCTCTCTGCAAGAATAGTTATATTTTTCAAATTTCTCTTGCTTAATTTCTATCTGTGATTGAAGTAATATCTTATTCGAAATTAACCCTAACGAGTATCTAATAATACGAAAGAGAAAGAAAACAAGTATATCCAACTTTGATAAAACAACAGATACGTACCTACACAATTGTCACATAAACTACAATGAGAGGCTCTAGGTGGCCTAAATATCTTGCATGTAAAACAATATTTCAGTTTTACTGGTTGTCCTCTAATCAAGACTTCTTTCGTCCTGGGAGGAGGTCTGTATGTTTTAGAGTTGCCATTGTTTGGTACTTCTACAATTTATTATGAAAAATATTTTGAGACTCAGCATTTCAAATCTTATAATAAACATTTGTTTATTATGTCTAAATGGAAATATTATTAGTCTTTTAAAATAAGTAAATTAAACCATGTAATTACTATAAGTAGTCTAGTTATATAATATTTATACCAATTTGTTTTTCAATGTAAGCTGCTTCATCAGGTGTCGCTCTTGGAATTACTCCAGGATCGCTGAAGCTTGTGCGGAATAAAGCAGACATTACAAATATAAATAATAAAGCTCCTATTACTGGTATTGCTGGTGTAACGTGTAGTGCCAGATATGGACAACTGGAAAAAAAGAAAACTATTGTCCAGAAATTTCATTTGGTTACATATAAAAGCATACTAATTTTCCTACTGACTGATTAAGAACAGCATTTACAGTCCAATCTTCAATACAAACATCTTGTATATCAAGATGCTGTATAATTGTTTCATTTGGATGCAGTTTTAACATCAGATGTACAATTTTAAATATAAGATTAAACTATGAATCTTAATTGTATCCAATGTATCTTTGATTAGAATACACAAGTTGCTTATATTCCTAATTCTATAACCTTTAGAGATTTATTCTTAATATCACATATAATATAACGCAATGTAGATAATACTTATTTAGAAGATCAGAGAATAATCCATTTGATGAGGCATACAGGGTGCTAATAGATTAAGGATGGTATTTGTAATCCATACAATCTTGTATTCAAAATCATCTCGAATATGATATCTTGCGACGCAATATAATTGTTTTAATAGCTGGAATCTTAAGAATCTTAAGATTCCATCCAAGAACCAAGATCAGATTTAAGATCAGTATTCATAGTGGATTCTTATATTCAAAACCATCTTAAGTACGGTCTTAAGATATCACAAATGAATTTGAAGGCTGTATTAGCACCTTAAGACATTATTTAAGACAAACTACATATGTCCTAGTCCTAAAATGATCTTGAATATAAGATCAGATCCCATGAATAGGGTAAGGTGGTACAATTTTCAACATGATACAAGTCTGAACAAAATAAGGATTGAAACCAATTTTCGCTAAAATTTGATTAGGTATTTCCCTTGGTTTACATCCTTCATACAGTGATAATAAGGTTACTAAACTTGAACTTAATCTTATTTTGTTCAGAATTGTATCATGTTTGAAATTATACGAGATCTTATCTTATCATTCTAGTCTCACAAAGTATCCAATGTACTTTAGCATAGAAGATATACAAGTTGCTGTAACAGCTCAAAATGTGTCTAAACACTACTGAGATTTATCTTTGATGACAAATGTAATCAAATGACCTATGAATCAAACAAGCAACAATTCATTTGCTCTGATGACGAGGTATACAATATATTAATAGATTAAAGATAGTATTCTTTAATCTTGTACTGAAGATTGAGATGCCGTACATTTGTGTTTTATTGGTTAAATAGAATCTCAAGATTATATTGTAGGATTGGACGTATCTTAAATAAATCAATGAATATCAACCTGATCTGAGAAAAAATCCAATAGTTATATACTGAGATAAATAGCCTTGGAGATAAATGTAATAAAATGCATTGCTTACTCAAAACCAAAAAACAGTCCACTTGTTCCGACGATGAGGCACACAGTGACATAGAATACTCCAGTCTGTGGTGCCATCATTACTCTGCCATCGCAACAAAAGCGATTCCTGCCTGGGAATAGTTCCCATTTTCGCGTGATGTGAGGCATTTTGGATGAAACTTGTCTCACATACTGCTATATATGAACGCATGGATCCTGGCAACAGGCTGCTGGAGATTAATCACAAACGTGTGATTGTGTCCCTTGGGCCTTGTTCCCACTCGAGAATTCGGACAGGCATATTTCATCTCGTCCGTGTTGTCTGGTGAAAAAGTGGAAGCTGCATGTGCCGACGACGGTGGTGGTGGTGGCGGCGGCAACGGCAACGGCATCCATGTATTAATCATCAACTCGTCGTAACGTCTGTGATCGCCTGTTCGTGGAGCTTGTGTTTCACCTGCGATCGGATCACCCAACACAACTTAACCTTTTCTGAGATTAGCTATTTTTTTTCAAGTCGACGGGAACCTGGCGGAGAAATTAGCACTATTAAATGAGTTCCATTCTCTGCAAGATCGTCGTGAATCTCTAGCTATCCATGTAACGTCGACATCGTCGTTATCGTTATCGTTATCGTTATCGTCGTCGTCGTCGTCGTCGTCGTTGTCGTTCGTCTCGGTGACCGCCAACAAAACAAAGGGTCGCGGTGAAAGGGTTGCGGTCGCGTCGAAGGCAGTCGAAGGAATTGGGTCAGCGAGGCCACTCCAGGCCACTCATGGGCACTATCGGCACGCTACGGTTCCCTCGAGGACTCTGTCGCAGCCACCCTCAAAGCCTCAAACCGTTAGCGTCCTCGTCGGCATCGTTGCGATCGCGCGATGAGCGTCCAGTTCAGCCGTCGACGACAACGCGCATTATTTACACGGTCAAGTACACCACACCACACGACCGTCGACCACAACTGCCTACAACGTGCTCTCCATAGTCCATTTACTCTCCGCTCGCGCGATTCAGCATCAGCGCGATTCTCGCGAAACGCGCGCAGCGACCTCGCGCGACCTCGCGCGAAAGCGCCACGTGACTCGGCGCCACGTGACCCGAGAGCGACCCGAGAGATCGCGATTCAAACCTTCGGTTCGCCCTTTTCGCGCGGGTCGATCATCGATCATCGGAATTTCCGACGAGGGGAAGTCGTCCCTTCCGTTGCGCCTGGTTGCGCGACGCCTCGAGGTTGATCTCCGTCAAGCGGGAATTAAAAACTTGCGCGGCGCAGAGAAGCGATCCCCATCCCAGCGATCCGACCCACAGGGATCTTTCACGCGAAACGACGCGGACGCGGGCGTGATCTAACCGCCGCTTCTCCGCGGCAATGACAGGTAAAAAAAGATCGAAAAAAAAAGAAAAGGAAAAAAAATACAAAAAGAAGGTGCTCGTCGATCGTCGCGCAAGAGATTGATTATATTTAACGGTAAGGGAGGGCGGCGAGCGCGCGCGCGCGCGCGCGACTTATCGCCCCCGTTGCAAAATGGGTCGTCGTCGTCGTCGACGCAATGCGGCACGTCGCCGCACGCGCGCGCGCGCACGCACGCACGTACATAACGTACGTATACGGGTGCATTGCGCGCGCGCGTGGTGTGTGTGAGTGACCAAGGAAATCCTGAAAATCGAACAATCCCGCCATCTTCGCGCACGCGAGCGACGTTCTCGATTGTGAAATTTTCGCGAAACGGACGCGACAAAGCCCGGCGAGGATGATCCATATAGATCCGTGACAATGTGCTGCACCGATGACACGGAAAATATGTAGAGATTTCGTCACATCGTATATAGATACGTCAAGAGGTATTATTACACGTCTGTGCTATCTACTCACTACCGTATATCGATATAAAACACTTCTTATGGCATTAGCTCCGTAATGGATGCTGGGATCTATACACATGCATCGCGTTGGACGACGCTACAGAAACGCGCGTCTTTCGATTACACCAGCACGTAAAAATCAACATTGCGTGTAATTTACACATCTCGCAGTTCAATTTTTTATTTTTTACAATTTACAATTTACATCGATCGTAAAAGTATATGTATTATAATTTAAAAAGCCATGAGATTACATAAAAAAACCGCTGAAAAGATTTTTTCTCAAACACCGAGAGCTTTATTCAAGTTTAAGTCTCTCAAGAGACGTTTATATCGCGAAGAGAGCCAGAGCCAACCCCTACGGGAGGAGTAGAGAAGGGTAGATCATCGAACGGCAGGTAATCGATAGCCTGCAACAAATCGGAATGACGTATACACACTCGGGGTTTATATTATATATATGTGTCTCTACGAAAAGAAAGAAAGCTCTCGCGTGTGAAAAGTACGCAAAATAATCAACAGGCATCGTATATATGAAGAAGAATCGGCGGGT